TCAATACACTGTTAAGTATTGCTCAAAATGAATTTAAAAAAAAGAAAAAAGATGACAGGTGCACTTCATACATGTGCTGTCAAAGTTTATGAAACTGGACACGTGTTAGCTATACAGATAATATATGGATAACATGAATGATAGTACATCGATAATCAACTAAAGTATAACGTTAGATAAGTTCTATCATACTGCAGTTTGTCCACTATTTTCATATGCAAAAGTACCATCTTCAGCGTTTCCTGCAGCAGCTTCCAATGAATCAACTTCTTTCGAATATTTGCCTATTAAATCATGAGCAGCTTTCAATGAATCCATCAGATCTTGAATTTCTTTGTTTATTTCACTTCTCGCATTGTTGATCATTTCTTGGGTTCGTTTACGCACAAAAGGAACTAAATTTAAAGAAAGCATTAGTGAAGGTAGTGAAGTGAATACACAACAATGGTATTACTCAATCTAATTGAATAACATTACAAAACCTGATGCTTTACACCAGAAACTAAAGATTTTGTAGGTATGCAAAATGAGGTTAAATAGGCGAAATAAAAAATAATTTAGTAATCAACTTACAATCAGTATGAAAACGTCTCGGTTCAGCTTTGCGTCCCTCTAAGTGTGATAACACTTTATACATTGGCATTGTCGGTTCTTGAAATACCTGTAACATAATCGACAAGATTTTATTCAAGGTAAATACTATGTATCATAAAACACCCAGCATTAGAATATAAAAGATTAAATTTAAAATGATATCATCTGTCACCAACAGTAACTATCTACCTGTTGCAAATGAATAAACACTATCTTTTCAAATGCTTTGTTCTTTACGTGTGCGAAAAATCACAGAAAAGCTCGGAGAAAAAAAAAACATTTAAAAAACTTACGATTTCATCGTAATATTCCGCAGCGACCATCGTTTTACCATTAGGTAGTGTAACCTGTGGTTGAAATAACCGAAGATAGTGGAATGCTGTTACCTTAAAATATATGACTAAAGAGTTAACTAATTAAGATTTTCGTATTCCAATTTTCGCAATTTTCATTTACCAATGACATCTCTACCACTAAGTAACTTAACCGCTGTTAAAGACAAAAAGATTCCTATAATTGTGAAATGAATATTGCGAGATTTTGAAATGGAATTCAACATCCCAAGCCACGAAATTCACAATAAAAGGTCAGGAAAGTGATATATGAAGAAGGAATAAAACAATAAACTACAGAAATAAATAAATAAGGTTGTGTAAAACAACAAGATCATGCAAAATACTGAAAGTTTACCGGCTTTTCATTAACGTCAACAAAATATATTCGAATCTGAATCTCAAATTCGCCCCAACCTGTTTCAGTCACTTCATATGGTGGTTTTTCGATCACTGAAAACTGATGCAAAATTAAACATACCATTCATGCAAGTAATAATTCCATGCTTTTCATACTCCTTCACACATCATATAACACCATAATTTTTTCTTTTTTTCATTCGAAATTTGCAGAAATTTCTATGGAAAGCAAAAGTTATTCTTTTTCCACATTATATGATAGCTTTTAATTTTCACATTCGCTTTAACCTCAAAAGCCAACTTCATTTCATAAATTATAATATCAAGAATTGACTAAAAGTAGGATTTCGAAGAGAATTAAAGTTTGCCATTCGATTCTAGCTTCTAGGCTCGTTTGATGATACTATGCTATTTTAAATGTTATTGTTAAAATAAAAGTTTACGAGTAGTTTGAACATTTGTAGAACAATGTTCTCAGTTTGAAAATTTCTATGCATGCATTGTATATACAAATCTGTTACATAAACTCAGTTTAACTATTCAAGTTCAAATCAACGCCTGCTAAGTGACGTGTGAAATATAGCAGATCGATTAACTATGTGCGCATTATGTGTGATAATGAAATGCTCATTTAACTTTCACTAAATAACTTTTTATTGTAGTGAAAGTTAAATGAACTTTAAAACACATAATTCGTAATACCACGTTCGTAATACGTTCGTAGTTCGTAATAATTCGTAATACCTTGTAATACCACGAAAAAGAAAACAAAAGCTACTAATTTAACTAAACTAAATGACAATAATCTAACTAGATTAGAAACTATAATGAACGTATACGACAATCTATCTAGACTAGCATTCACTTAGCCAGTTAGACGAACAACTAATATTTGAACCTTTAGCAAGAAGAAAAAAGTAAATTACTTCGTGTTGCATTAGCATATGAATCGTGCAGTTTGAATTGTACTTTCCGGATATACTTTGACGGATCTTCGTTGTAGTAAGGTTTTACGAATACCGTCCATTCATGAGTATGCCCATCTTCTTCACGTTTTTTACCCAAATAATGGGCAGTATTTCCATAGACAATCGGTCGGGTAAATATTTTATCTTTTACTCGTTCCATCAGAAGTACGAAAAATCATTAAGATAATACTGCTGCTCTTTTATCATTCCACTTTGCTTCAGCTAAAATAAACTTCATTATCAAGTAATAATGTTAAATTCGGCCAAAATTTTTTCGATTTCTACGATTCAGCAATATGACAAAAAGGGATTTTATAAAGATTAAATAGGATAAGTAATTAAAATTAAAATTAAAGACGTTAATGTAATAATAGGACTAAAGTATATGAAATTTCAAGTTATGAACCCAAACATTTGCATTATTTTCATTTCAAATAAATGATTAAACATTTTTCTGAAAATTAATTAAAATGTTGAAGGGAAGGGAAGAATTATATGCATAAAAATACTTTAAAGTAGTTAACAAATAGATTAACCATTTACATATCATTTAACAGCTCTATTAAAGTACATCATTATTTCGAATTTCCATTTCAAATTTCAGATACTGAAATTCAAATGAACTGGTATGTGTAGATTTTATCTTACCTTTAGCAAACAATAATCATCAAATTACATCCCAATTTTAACATTCTTTCAAACAATACAAACGGTAGAAGAGAATAATAATTAAAGATGTAAAAATGTTTAAAAAAAAGCAAGCATAAAAACAAAGAAAATATAACGGAATTGATGTATACCGATATATGCCAGACATTGATAAGAATTATGAGATGAAACGATGAAAGAGAGGCATGAGAGGATATAGAAAAAATAGTTAAGAAATGATGGAAGGGAACAGAGATTGAGAGTATAATTGAAATATCCCTAACATAAATGATATACTTAAGCATAACACTTTCATTTGCAATGAAAGATATTATTTCATTGGTAGGGCGTTGATTCGCCAACTTTAAAATTCCGGTTTGACGACTTTTCGCGACTGTTATTCATCCTGTTGAAAAAAGGAAATTCATTAACGGATGAGGAGATTGGAAGGAATTTGAAATAGTGAAGTAATAATGATTATATGGTTAATTTTCTGGATCAGGAAAAATGATATCTATCATAACATTTGGTAACTTTCAAATGCAAAAGTTATTATCTATTATTGTTTCATCAGATGTCACTGAAAACGACAACATTTATGACATGTCGTTATTTTTCTCCAAAAGGACTAATTAATCATAAAAAGGAATTAATTCAATTACCGTAGGACAAATGTAGATTTAAATGAATTAAATATATTCTTTCCTTCGAAATATCACATATATTATTTTGTTACATTTAAATTTAAATTTAAATTTTGATCACATTTCCTTCATCATCTTTTCTATTTATCAGCTATCAGTTTGCACGCTTTCTATGCCTAATCAAAATATAACGAGATTTATTGCTAGGCTTATTTCTATAAATTATAATCGAGAAATTAGCTCATGAAGTTAGTGCTATTCTCATGAACAACAATTAATCCGAATGTTAAAATGTTAAATCTCGATTGTGAATCAAAGAAGCAACTAACACGGATTGATAATTATGGAAGTAATAACCATACATACTTATTTATCAATCATTTGTTTTAATTTGACAATTATAAAATCCTGTAAAACTTTGAAAATTTTTTTGTAAAATTTTAAAATTTTGAAAAACAAGAAAAATTTGTAATATTTATCAATGTATTCGAATAATAAGAAATAGAATATTAAATTATCTCTTAGAATAATAATCGTGGTGGAAGTGATAACATAAATATTTGCTATCAACCATCTGTTTTTTATTTCAATAAAGTTTTTTATTTCAATAAATGTTTGTTTTGAACTTTTATTTGTTTTCACAGAGTTTTTTTTTTCTTTTCTTGAGAAAATTAAGAAACATAATTTTTTAAATGTATTATAATAACAATAAAAAAAACACTTGAAAATTTGACTAAAACTTTTTGAAATAAAAACGTGCTATATTTTAATTTTGCGCTTCTTCTCGAGAATTCTTTCTGAATCCTAATTATTATAAAGAATTTAATTACTTAATTATTGGAAAGAATTTCGTTACTAATAAGTGGCAAAGTTTAAATTCAAATAGGAAAAGAGCTATGGTATAAAACTATTAATTGATACATCAATAAAAACATTCGAGAATGACATCAATTTCTAAATATCGAAAGATTAGAATTTTCTTTAATTCATTATTTCACTAAAATTTTTAAAGATTAAAAGATAAAATGGATGAATTTCATAAATTTTGAAGTCGAAATTTTAAACTTTTTGCAGCAAGTTTTT